ATTTATTAGTTACTGTGCAGTTTGATAACAGCTGTCTCAAAAGTACTGAACAGGAAAGAAGTTTGAAGGGGATTATCTTTGGGTTGTATAGTAGCTTTCCAAATACATCTACTAAATATTAATTCAACTTTCTGCTGACTCAGCACAATATAATTATATAATGCATCCATTCACCCATTTTATACTGAGGAATGTGGGATAATTTTCCCTAGTAATAAATAGACTGGTGTGTGCCTTGAGGGTTTTAAAATATCCTTGCCTTTATCTTTTTTGTGTCTAGCAGATTCCTCCTCCTCTGTACTTACTTGTAAATTAAGTAATCAAGCTTGTATCTAGGAAAAGAGGAAATAACTGCTCTCTGTATAAATGTCTTTAATTTTAGTTTCTCACATGCTTTTTCCTTTCTTTTGTATATTTGAGGTTATCATTTAGCTATTTTTCTTACGTATTAGCCTATAATGTTCAGTGTTTCTCTATCATCTTGATCATTTTCACTTTGGCACCAAATGTGAGATGATCTTATTGGTTTTGTCTCAACCAGAAAAAAAGAAGCCACTTTTGCTACATTTTTGCCAGTGCTGTGATTTCTCCTGGTCTGGAATGCTAGCTTGGCCTCTTCTTTGCTTTGCATAGCGACTTGCCAGAAGGATTCTTAGTGGGATTTACGACAGCCACATGGTGACAGAGCATTGGCACACACAGCATTAGCCTCTGTTGGACTTACTCTTTTGTACTTACTCAGTTTGACTGCAAGGTTAATGAGATGTATAGGTAGGAGGGTGTTCAGACAAATTCTGGAGGGCTCTCCCTTATGGGGGCGATGCTGAATGCTCATGCATGCTCTTGCTGGTGGAGAGGTAACAGATTGGCAGTGGCTTCTTGGAGGAAGATACCTAGGAGGACAATCAGGCCGTATCCAGGCTCAGAAGGGACAGTGTTACCCTTGAAGGGTACCTGCCAGAGGGGAGAACGGTTGCAAGCTTAACATTTGAACTACGGGCACTTTCCTGCCTCTGGTGGTGGCGAACTGACCTCCACATCTGGAGTTATTACTGAGCTTCCATCCTTTTCCTCCACTCTCCCTTCTCCCAGAAGTTTTCCTTCCCTTCATCATACTACCTCTCCGCATCTGCTTTAAGAACCCTTTCTTTGTTGTTGGTTCACCTCTAGATCCAGACTGACCTGTCATCATCTGAAGAGAAGCAGAATTGCCTTTTAGGTTGAAGGCGATCTGCTTTCGTACCCGTGTCCTCGTTCCTGGAAGAAATCGTGTTCTTGCCCACCTCCCACTTCAGGGCTGGTTCCGTCAGAAGGACACTTAAGTTCTACTTTGAGAGCAGGTCTCTCAGAAACCCCCGTATTCCTTATTGGTCTTCAGTCTACTATCTTCCACTTCTTTTGTTTTAGCCTCTAACTTTGTTTTAGAATACCCCGGCAGGTCACATCTGTTTGTTTATATTTGCTGAGGTGCTGTTAAAACAAATCCATTCATAAGATTGGGTATTTTTCGCATTTTCGCTTTGGTTGAAGAAATTACCCTAAACACTTTCTTTTTTTTTTTTTCTTTCGAGACAGAGTCTCACTCTGTTGCCCAGGCTAGAGTGCCATGGCGTCAGCCTAGCTCACAGCAGCAACGTCAAACTCCTGGGCTCAAGCGATCCTTCTGCCTCAGCCTCCCGAGTAGCTGGGACTACAGGCATGCGCCACCATGCCTGGCCAATTTTTTCTATATATTTTTAGTTGTCCAGCTAATTTCTATTTTTTTAGTAGAGATGGGGGTCTTGCTTTTGCTGAGGCTGGTCTGGAACTCCTGAGCTCAAACGATCCGCCCGCCTTGGCCTCTCAGAGTGATAGGATTACAGGCGTGAGCCACCGCTCCCCGCCCCTAAACACTTTTTTTTAGGATATCGGTGAAGCCTGGATGCTGAACTGAACATCTAGACGTTTTCTCCACTTTAGTTCTCTGGAACATAAACTCAGTTTTCACCCCATTCTCTCAACATCTTGTGTGTAAGGAATGTGATAGATAGTTGCTTCGTGCTGCTTCTCTAAGGTTTGAGTTTTTAAAAATCCTCAGTGGATTCTGTAAGTGGAAGTTAATGCCTTCCTTATTTCTCACATCCTTCACATGGATTTTTACTTGATTTTCTTTGAATCAAATAATTTTTATTTTTATTTTTTGAGTCAAGAGTTCCACCCTGTCACCCCACCTATAATGCAGGCATAGCTCACTGCAGCCTCGAACTCCTGGGCTCAAGCGATCCTCCTGCCTCAGCCTCCTGGCTAATTTTTCTATTTTCTGTAGAGACGGGGTCTTCCTCAGGCTAGTCTCGAACTACTTGACTTCAAGCAATCCTCCTGCCTTGTCCTCCCAGAGTGCTAGGATTATAGGTGTGAGCCACCGTATCCAGCCACTTTTAGGGTTTTTGGATATTGGTAAGTCCTGAGGATGCCTGAAAGAAAAGGAAAGGACTGGAGCTCTCACTTAGTCTTTGCATTTTGGGGAGATGGGTCATCGTTGGTTTGCTATCTCATCTCCTCATACTGCTTGTTCATTTCCATTTCTTTGTTACAGAACACACAGTTGTTAAAGCTGGGCAGGAATGGTTTTTACTGTTGAGTTTGAAGTTTGAGATCTCCAGGTACAAAGGGAGAGCACATTGGTTACCTGTATCTTTGTTGATGTTGCTCAAGTGTTATTAGCTCATTCATAGGAAAGTGGACAAGAGGAGAAATGAATTTCATATTTATTAGTTACTGTGCAGTTTGATAACAGCTGTCTCAAAAGTACTGAACAGGAAAGAAGTTTGAAGGGGATTATCTTTGGGTTGTATAGTAGCCTCTGGTCCCAAATAATGTACCGATGACTTGACTTTACCTCCTTCTGAATTGTCTTTGTCTGATAAGGAAAAACTATATTGCACTTCTTTATAATATTGAACTTATTCTTGTGTTACTGATCTAAAATTCAGAAGGTAAACATTTGAGGGTGAGAGGTTAAGATATAAAAGGGTAAGGATGTGGGTTCTTCTATTTTTTTGTTTGTTTTTTTAAAATCCAGCACTTTTAGTTACTGTTGGTTAGGGATTTATTGTGGTAATTTACTTCCTGTTAACCATAATATCAAAGTAGTTTCCAAATACATTGGAATTTTCAGGAATCCATATCTGCCATTCATTTCTTATGAATGCAACATAGTTATTTCATATAAGGAAATGTTATCTTGTTTTTACTTTTTCTCTCTGATCGTCTTTCATTTTTTGAAGTCTAGTAATTTATAATCTAACGTATGATCTAAAGTAGCCTCTCTTCCTCACCAGTGTGGCTCGGCATTTTTATTTGGCTTACCTTTTCTTGCTCAATTCAGTTCTCAGTGGTGAGTTTTGTTTTTTCTCAAGAACTAGTCAGGTGAAATTTTTAGATTTTGATTTGTTATGTTTGGTGAGTGGCATCATCCCCCTGCTGGGGAATTTAGCTTCAAATCTGTTACAAGGACACAGGTGAAGTTCTCTTTCTGGGGCTATTGGAAAAAGAAATTTAAAATGGGCTTTGGAGATGAGTAGCTTTGTGTTATCTCCTTGGAGGTGAGGATTTAGGTGTATACATTCTTGAATGTCTTACTTTGGTTTTCCTTCTGGAAGGGCTGAGGGCCAAGGCCTGTGTTTATGAGCTGTCTTCCTTCTCCCACCAGGTTCTCCTGCGCTGCCCAACAGCATGGTATATTTTGGAAGCTCTCAGGATGAGGAGGACGTCGAGGAGGAAGATGACGAGACAGAAGACGTCAAAACAGCCACCAACAATGCTTCATCTTCATGCCAGTCAACCCCCAGGAAAGGAAAAACCCACAAGCACGTTCACAATGGGCATGGTAGGTCCACCGTTGAGCTTGGGTAAAGAAAATAATATCCAGAGCTTGGGTGAGAGAGCTGGAAGAGAACACCTGTTGAGAAGCAGAGAAGAGACAAAGGCTATATAACTGGGTAGTGGCAAAGCTAGTTCTGGATACTTCACTAAGTGCCAGACACTTTATGGGCAAAGTGATCATCAGTACAACACAGTATTGGCTGGCGCAGTGGCCCACACCTGTAGTTACACCACTTGGGGATGCTGAAGTGAGAGTATTGCTTGAATCCAGGAGTTCGAAATCAACCTGGGTAACGTATCGAGAACCCTTATATAATAAAAAATTAAAAAATTAGCCGGGCGCATGTGGTGGTGTACACTTGGTAGTCCCAGCTGCTCCGGAGGCTAAGGCAGGAAGATCCCTTGAGCCCAGGAGCTGTGCTCATGCCAGTGTACTCTACGCTGGGTGACAGAGCAAGGCCCTATCTCAATTAAAAAAAATATATATAGACGTTCTTAGGTTGTGGAAAGGATGGTGATTTCCACAAGAGCCGCAGATAATACAAATCAGAAGAAGGAGAAGACCTCATCTACGAGGGATGGTCAAGAAGATTTTGTGAAACAATTTTTGTGATCCACTTTTAATTATTGTAAGTTTAGCCAGGTGGATACAGTGTAAACAGCAAACTGTTATTCCTCATATGGAATTAAGAAAATGCACATATATTATGCAGTAGATTGGTTTTTCCCTTGAGTGTTCTGGTGTAGAGGAAGAGGAGGAGGGTTAAAGGTTGGGTATCAGAGCGAGGGAACTCATTTTATTTAAATAAGTTGGCCATAGAACATGCCTAGTGAATTTTCAGCTGAGAAGTGACTTAACCGGAGTTGGGGCTCTGAAAAGATTGAGCTGGCATCGATGATGAGGATTTCATGAAGAGAAATGACCTCAAGAAGAGGAAATGCATTGGGAGGTTGTAATTGTAGGCAGTTACCTGGCCAAAGGTAACAAGGACTAAAAGTTGGCCCTGTTTTATGTCTGTCTGTCTGTCTGTCTGTCTGTCTATCAGTATACAAAGGAGAGAAGTGCAGAGGCAGCTTTGTAACTCATGGCTAGTGTGGAGTGTGGGAAAGGGAGTAAGAAAAGAGGGGAAAAGGAGAGGGAAGCAAAGAGAGTGGGGGTCAGGAGGTGTCATGGCTGTTTCCTGTCGATCTCCTACCAGCTACTCTGCTAGACATGTGTTATTCAAGACTCACAAGGACCCTACGAGGAAGAGAGGCCCTGGTCACAAATGGCAGAAGATCAGTGCTAAGTGACTGAGGCAGAGGAATGTTTGTCATCTTTTTTCCCTCAACTCCTGTACACTGAGTTAACATTAGCCTTTTTGCACTCTGGGAAATAGAGGCTCAGGGTAAGCATAGCCTAGACGTGATGGACGTCTGCATTTGCCTTCCATTGTTGCTGGGCATTGTCAACTTAATGTGCCTTCATCTGTCCTGCTTCTTGCTTGTGGCTGTTTTTAGCTCTACCTATAGAGGTATACCCCCTTTTAAGGATTTGTTATTTAATTAGGGAGATGGGGCCTAATACAAAATGGTAACTAAATTTTAACTTTTCAGGAAAAAGGTTGTTCCCTGTAGCTGCTGTCATCAGGGAATCTTGATGGTTGAAAGAGCGCTGCATGTACGAGCTGGGGCGCAGGTACAGATGTGCAGATGAACTTTCTAGGGAAGAACAACAACATACATGGTGAAGTGCATAATATTGTCTGGTTGTGGGATGGTGGCATGTTGTCCCACCAGTATGGGGGGGGTGTACTTTGAGGTGACCTGGAAGGACAGGAGAGTCAATAATATACGCCCTCCTGGGCAGGTAGAAGAATTCTAATACAGAGAGTAGGGAACTGTTGATGATTTTCGATGTAGAAATGAGATGAAATGGGTCATGTTCTGAAATAAAAGGTAAAATGATTGAAGTCGGAGGATTCCATCCAGGGAACTGCTGATGAGAACCTGGGCTTGAGAAAATACAGTGGTGATACAGCTTTTCACAAGGGCCTGCAGAGGCGGGTTGCAGGTAATGGCATAGGAATTAGGAAGGTGTTTGATTTGGGGGTAGGAGCTTTATTATCTGTTGAGTGCGTGGTGGTGATTCTCAGAATTGCTGAGGACAGACAGGATTTACCGTTACGGAGCTGCTGGTTGAAACTGGATGCACTTTCTTAGATGTAAGGTGGAAAGAAAGGAAACTTCTGGAAAACCTTTTTTCTTTCCCTCTGTTAAGTCTTGAGAAGGAATTTAGTTTTCTAGTTTTCTTTTTTATTTAATAGAGAATCAAGAGTAAATAAATGGCTGGGCAGGGTGGCTTACTCCTGTAATCCTAGTACTCTGGGAGGCAGAGGCAGGAGGATTGCTTGAGGTCAGGAGTTTTAAAACTAGCCTGGGCCACATAGGGAGACCCCGTCTCTAGTAAAAATAAATAAAATTAGCCAGATAGGGTGCATACCTGTAGTCCCAGCTACTTGGGAGGTGGAGGCAGGAGATTGGCTTGAGCCCAGGAGTTTGAGGTTGTAGTGAGTTATGATGGTGTTGCTGCACTGTAGCTTGGGCAACAGAGTGAAACCCTATCTACAAAAAAACTTCATGATGTAAAAATCTTCATCATCTGTGTACGTGGATCTTTAATTCCCTTTTCACATGAGCTGCAGGGTAAAAGGGCAGTGAATGTTTGGGAGCACATTACAAGAGTATAGGAAGAAGGTGGGTGAGGGTGACCGAATTGGCTGAATCTTCACCTAAAAGAAGAGGATAACAATTCTGCATCGACCACTGTCGTCGTCATAAGGTGTGAAGGAAGTTCGTGTAACTTTTATATCTGTAGGTACATATCTGTGTGTATGCATTTACACACAGATCCATTGCTAATTTTGGAAAATCTTATAGGATTTTACTATTTTAAACAGTTAATGTTTGTGGAAAAACAATACTGTGGTGATTGGAAAGGGTTTAAAGTTTTCACTTTGGGTATTTTCTTGTTAATTCAAAGGTTTCTGGAAACAGTGTTGGGTTGTTTCGTATACTAATGCATTTTAATGTCTCTTGGCCGATAGGATAGTGTGCGTCTTTAGTTCCAGGGTGGGAGGACTAGGCAGAAGGGGAGGGGGTCTCGTGACAAACCACATGCGCCCCCTCTTACTGCCTTTCTCCCCGTGCCTTCTGTTGTCCCCTCTCACACAGGAGAGTCGCAGCATAAGACACAGGAGCGGTGGGAAACACCCAGACCGGCGGGGCTTAGTGCACGAACTTTGCTCATGCTTAACCCTTCTGTGCTTGCTGCTCTGAGAGTCGTAGACACCAAAACCAGAAGGCCCCTGTGCAGTCCTTTCATCCTACAGGCCTGCTTCTGATGACTGTTTTCTTGATTATGGGTCCCGTTTATGCCTCTTTTTAAAATTGTGTTCAGCTATTGTGTGTAAAAGTGTGCTGTAGTCTCCAGTACAAGTGAAGGCCTTTCCTTTCTGGCAGTTAGAGTGGCTGGCTTATGGCTTTAGTTAGATTGAGATCACCCGTGATTAGCCCAGTCCCCGACCTCCAAGCCTCTGCCTTTCTGGTTATGTCAGTAGTTGAGCTGGGAAGGATTTGGCCCTTGTGGCAAAGAGCCGCCTTTCTCCGCAGCTCCAGCAGAGTCCCAGAACTCTCACGAGAGCTGTTGAAACGGCCATGCAGTTTCTGTTTGCCTGAACCTAAACCTTGGTTCGGGGGTCAGTTGCAGGCCCGAGCGATCTGTCCTTGTGCTGTTTGGGTCTCTTCCAGACCCTATCCGCCCTGCCGTCCTGTACTGTTGTCCAAAGCCCCAGCCCTGTAAGGCCGTCTGTGTGCAGTAGGCCTGTGCCCGTTCCCAGACTACGCACCCGCTCCCCCGGGCATTTCCCTCTGGAGTGTAGTCCTCTCTTCAGCAGCCTCATGGAGAAGTTTGAGCTGTATTTTGTCTTAGTTTTTCTTGTTTTTGCTGTGGCTAGGCATGAACACCTTTCACATCCTTTGCTGCCTTAAACCTGGTCAGTAAAAGCCACATCCTATGGGGTGCTCAGAAGACCAAATGAGTGAAATACAAGCAACAAACCAACTCCACTGCATTTTCTTCTGCAAGATTATTTTGTGAGTTTTCAGCAAATGCTAATGCCTGTGTTAGGGAAGATTTCGTATTTACATGTTCCTGAAATTGCTGTATTTGTAGTGGATTTGGGAAGGAACTCCGGAAGTCATTTCACTGGGAAAAGCTCTGAAATAATCATAGACTCTTTGAGGGCAGGATTTTGCCACATTAACCATTTGTGGAGTTATTTTTTCTGTCAGATATAAAATAAGTTCAACTTCTGTGCATTTGAGAAATATGTGTAAGCCTTTGTGGTAATAGAAGTGCTTTGGGAGAGAACACAGATGAACAAGGCATATAGGATCTACCCTCAAGGAGCTAACGGTGTGGGACGTTCCCTGGCCAATCTGTCAGAAACGCTCTGAGAAATTCAGGCTCTGTCCATGTGTTCGTCCTGGTCCCAGAGGCTGGAATGTCTCATTCGTCTTTGTCATCCCCTTGTCACTTTGTGTTTCTCACATACTGTCCTCCTGTCTCTTGTCTCCTGGCACGTGCCCCTCTTGTGTCCTGCCACTTGTCTTATGACCATTTTGTGGCCCCACCCCTCACATCCACGCACCGTGGACCTTGGTCGGAAGGTGCTGTTGGCTGTAAGCAGCGTATATACTCCAGTTTGGGCTCCGTTAACAATGGCGGTTTGTAGTTTTTGTGTACATTTATGGGTTTTGTGGATTTGTTCTCCCCTTTTCAGGCATCTCAGTACCAGGTCTTTTGTAAAGTCGTATGAAAAGAAAATAGGACCTTAGTCTTTAGTGTTAGGTAGTCATTTAATGTAAAGATCACTAGGTTAGTTCTTTCCCTCCCTTCTTTCCCTTTCTTTCTGAAGGGAAGGACACTAGTTACTGAAGAGGCATTTAAAATGCTGCCCTTGC